TTTTGGGCCTAGACCCGAAACGTCAGCGTTCCTGCTCCTCTGATGCTGCTTGGCCTGCTGTGTTCATCCAGCTCTACACCTTGTTATCTCAGATTCTCCAGCATCTGCAGTTCCTACTATCTCTGATATAACTATATAACATCAGTTTGTGTGTACTTGAATGGTGTGTGCAGAGAGAGTTGTGGAATCTGGCACAGTAGAGGATGATGGGAAGTTATTATGAAGACATTGTGATTGGATTATCAGAAGGTCTGTGATTGGGTAACAGGATGTTAACAGGAAGGTAGAGGTGTATATGATGAGGTAGAAATAGAACAGGAGAATTCAGTTTGTCGTATCAGAAAGTTGAATTTCTGGTCCCTTCTGGGTTGGGTTTTTGTGATTTAAGCTCAGGTCTCTTGGTCAGAATGAGCAACAAATGGGCATTGAGTTAAGTCAGAACTTTAACCCTGTGAGATTTCCATTCATTAATCCTGTCTTATGTGTGACATTCCTTGAATTAATTTCCTCATTGATTTCACTTCAGTCATAATCCCCTCCCCAAATACGCAACATTTCCCATTCCTGATGTGACGAGGTAAGGGGACAATGGAAGAACCCAGTCACAGAGAAGATTTGTGATATGCAGCAGAAAAAAACCAAAACAAAAAGCTGAATGGAACAGATCTGGCACAGCTAGCTGCATGGTAAAATGCAGACCACTAATATGAAAAGATGTTGGATCAATTACTTAATGGATTGAAACATTTATCAGGCAACTGCCTTGAACAATTTTATACGATCACCTGACATTGGGCATCTCTCTGGTGCTGCTGGTGCATGAGACGTAACCCTATGAACCTGGTGACTTTTACCCCATTAAACACCCAAAAGGGGCTGGATTTTTCTTCAGGCCAGCTGTAACAAAGAACTGAGAAACCCTGAACAGATTTTATCCCAACCTTGCAGTTAATGAGCTGCTATCGGGCACCCATTGCTTTATGTGATGAAGTCTGACTAGCAAGACCTGCCAATTGATCAGAGGACCAACAGCACTTTATATTCAGCAACGCTCCCAACTGGGGTGGTCACTACTGGGACTACACTGACCCAGAACAGGTAGCATGGAAAGCGGAGTCAGGTGTTTCTGGGGCCACTCAGCAAGGTCACGGTGATGATTTGTGTGGTGATTAGGGTGGGGTTGAGAACGTTCCCAGGTGTGCTACCTGGGAGCTCTATCCAGACCACATAATGTTTGAATATGAGCCCCGCCCCCCTCACCTCGAGTTTGCAGGGAAGCTGCCAGGGTTCACAAGGCAGTCTCCCCACAATGTGGAGTCTGTCCACTCTGGTAAAAAGCCAGCATTGAAAGGAACAGGCTTTCAGGCACAGTTGCCTTCTGGATGGGTAGGGGACTTCCTTTCCTATTCCTGGAATTGCCAGAATGTCATGACAGTGAGAAACCAATGGGGAGTCCATCCCAAAATCCTCTTTCCACCCTTCTTCCCAGTTTTCCAACTACTCAGTCTCCAGCTCATTCCAACCCATAAATTCATTCAAAGGTTAACCCAAGGAGTCTAAACTCACCCGTAGGATATTAACAATGGTACACAAAATGGAAAAGTTTGCCTTCCAGAGATTGATACACATCATAAACAGAATTCCTGCCTCATTTTTTTCCATTTGCTGATTTTTAGATTAGATTTGACCCTTTTGCCAGTGTGAACAATTACGGTTTTAATTCAGGTTGTGTAGATGAAGATTTGTCACTCTGTGTAAAGACACATCAACACACTATTAATCTTCACAGATATACCTGAATATTCTCTCCATGCTTAGCCCAGCTTATCCTTACACATTTACACAAATACCCTGACCCCATACCCATACCCACTTCCGGAGGAGAATGGCACACTGCTAACGGGTACAGATCTAGAGCAGTAAACTAGGTAGAAGAGGCAACAGCACCCAGTTCACACATTCAGGGCTGGTGTGGAGAAATGTAAGTCTTCATCCTGCCTCAGAATGGTGGTGGTTCTGTCCTGAGGGTGAGAGATGAAGGCCAGATTGGGTCAATTGCTGTTCACATTGGAAGGCTACCTGGGGCAACTCAGTGTCAATACTAGAGGCCAAATTAGAAAGGGGGCCCTGTTGGGAGTATAGAAATGAAATACATTAAATAAAATTCATCTCTATTCTGAAGAATTGAACACCCTTCAGTGAGTGGCTTAATGTGACTGTTCACTATTTCCTTTGCAGGCTGAGGCTATCCAAGGGGAAATGGAGCTCAGCAAACCAGCCATCACCATCTTGTCACTTCACGCCACACAGAATGACCTCTCACCCTTCCACCAAGATCTGGCGTGAGTATCTGATTGTGATTGCTGCAGAACAAATGGAGATGGGAGCAGGTTCTGTCTCAGTGGAAACATAGCCACCACTTGCAGAGCAACCTGTCTGTTTCTTAGTTTCCGTCCGTTCCTTCACTGAGGTATAGGTCTCTGGGTGACACTGAGTACCTTGCTCAATAGGTCTTCAAGAAAGAGGGCCTGATAACTCACCTTGTCGCTGACTTCACCTGGCAGCTATTTGGGGCAGAGAGGAAATGGGGAGTTGTTGTCCTGCCTCTGAACAGAATCAGAAGCAGGAACCTTGAATGAATGAGGAAAGACTAAGGATCAAACATGGGACTTCGCTTATAATCCAGAGCTACACCAAATGCAGATGATAAATAATCATTATTTAGAAATACTACGTGTAACTTAGTGTTGGTATGAGTTTTCCCTGGGCAAAGTACTTTACCTGATGTGGAAATGCTTATGTCATCTCCTGTAACGTCAGAAACTGGGCGTAGATACCATGGTATTGAAGAATCTAACAGACATTTACCACGACCTAACCATTATGTACCAATATCATATTCCCTAACATGTAAGTGTCCAGGCTAATATCAAGCTATTAGGTTAAAACAAAGGGACATGCTTCAAATCGGGTGTCATGTTTAAAGTGATCCAAGGTAAGATGGTGTATGAGACATTTATACCCTCAGGTGACACGCTGATAATATCATGAAAATTGTCACAACCTAGATGGGAAAAGTGCACTGGAATCAAATTCCACTATTCTACAAGGCCTCACAAATGTATAAATGATCTGTTAAGTCACTAGAATGGTTGGTTAATTTGTCTGTCTTTGACTACTGACTTAATCCAAGTTTCATCAAGGAACAAAAAAAGCTTCTTAAAATATGCAAACCCATCGCTTAACAAGTGACAAAATAGATTATTACCTACTATCATACACATTTACACTATAATCCCCTTTTGACCCAAACACAGACACATTCATTCACAAATAGGATGGACAGGGCAAACAGAGCTGCAGAAATATCATGGATGCAAAACATAGGTAAAAAGAAACAAATTCTGTGGATTATGAGTTCAATCACAAAGGTGAAATTAAGGGATATTTTTCACCGTTCTAATGTTGTTGACTGTAGAAGATCCTCAGTTTGGTAACTGATCAGTTGGACTTGGGTCTTAGCTGGAATTAGGTGTTCTTCTTTTTAGAGTTCTTCAAATGCTGTTTCTTTTTCACCCACCGAGGATGAAACAGAGAAAAAGAGAGAGAGGGAAAGAGACCAGTTTTAGCTTGCATGTTATCTGGCAACCTGAATACAACTGTTTTCTCAGGTCTATGACAAACTACAACTTAACGATCCAAAAGCTGTTACTTGGCAGATTTTCGATCCAAAGGCACCTGGTGGCCCTGCTTATCTCAAATTCTGGTTCTCTAAAATATATGACCTTGTACAACCAATACATAAACACTGCATGGTTCCATTTTTGGCCGTTGAGTTGAAAAAGCAACCAGTTTGTCCTGTGTAATACAGCGGTATCTAAACTTCTATTTTTAAGCTTATATTCCAAACAAAATATACGAAGTCTGTACAGAATTTCTCTGAAAATTGCACAAGTATGTTGACCATGGAACAAAGTTCTCTTGGATCAAACTTTGGCTGAGGGCCCTCTCAAAAAAGTCTGTTGAAAGAAAAGTGAGTGCTTCCAGCATTCTGACTCAAAACCTACTCTACAATTAACATCTCTAAGACAGAGTAAAACATTAAAAACACATTACAACTTTAAACCAGTGAAATATAATCTACTGCTGACTGAAATAGTTTGCTGTGACTGCATTTCAACAAGCACTTCATTGGTTATGAAGAGTTTTGGGATTTCCAGAGGTCACAAAAGTACTATTTAAATACATGTCTTTCTTCTATATCGTACAGAAGGGACATTTATCCTGAGTGTTTATCTAGTGTGACTCCAATGCAATCTAAACTTCCTTCTATCAGGCCTCCATTATGACCTCTGATATCCTTTTGTACTCTGATCCTACTGTACTGACTTGTTTATTACAGGAAGTGGTTGGCCTATAGCAAACTGTACCGCCATGCGGAAGTCAGCTTCATCTCCCTGCTCCAACATCTCACCAGCATTGAGTACCAATGGGGACTGGCACAGGTCACACTGCAGCAAGAGGCCGTATGTATGAACTGCAAGCTGTGGGGGCTTCAAGAGGGATGTTCAGAGACTGTAAATCAGGGGGTACAGATCAAGACTGTGAACTGGGGGGTTACACACGCAGACAATAAATCAGAGGGTATAGTCAGAGTGTGTGAACCAGAGAATACACAAAAACTGTAAATCAGGGGTACAGTTCGAGAGTGTGAACTAGTGGGACACACAGAGACTGTAAATTGAGGGTATATCTGAGATTGTGAATTGGGAGGACCCACAGTCATTGTAAATCGGGGGGGTACAATCTGAGTGTGTGAACTGGAAGGATCCACTGTGACTGCAAATTGGGGAATACAGTCCAGAAGTGTGAAGTGGGGTTACAGACGCGAAGTCTAAATTGTTGATGTTACAGATTGAAAGGAAATGGGAGGGTTAAAGATCAAGATTGAAAACTAGGAGGTTACAGATTGAAACTCCAAACTTGACGGCAAGGTTCTTGGAAGGTGGGTCTGCAAATGCAGCCAAGTCCATAGAGATTCCTCAGTCTGTCCTTGACCTATTGTAGGGACTCGAGGCTATATCACTCTGAAACCTTCAGCCCAGAGCACTGCACAGATGCACAAAACTAAATTAGAAATATATGTATTTACTGAATAGAGAAAGGACTTTACACCCATTGTGACTGTGCCAACTATTTGCCACAGCAACTTACATCTTCAGTATTATTCTGATTGAGAAAGTCTTCTGCAATATGGGATTTGTGAAGCCAGAGATTCTAGCTGTGGATATAGGAGGGTTCAGTAGATGGTTGGGACTAATTGGGAGAGGAGGTTGCAGACAGAGGCCCAGAATATTTGATTTGGGACAATCTCCACTCGCTTGAGACTAGCATCCACTCCAGATACTGGATCCCAGCTGTATTATCGACCTCTGTGAAATGAGCTCTGGATTCTCCATGGGGAGTTGTGCCAAACCAGGAGAAGTTTGTAGCATTGAATCTTGGGGGCTGTGAAGACTCAAGTCCAGAGAAATGTGCTGATGAGGCCTGCTGACATTTAAACTGAAAGGTGGGGTCTAGGCAAAGGCTCCTATGTCCAGCATTCAGTGAGGACAATTGATGCAAAATAGATAATTTCCAAATAGCAGGATTTTGTAGAGTGCTAGGCCTGACCACTGGTAAATGAGAAATGGCAGACCTACTGGAGGAAGCTTAGGGCAGGGCACCTAGTTGAGGGAATCCATGGAGGAGCTCAGAGGCTGGTCCCAGGGAAAGGCTGCGTCTGTATTCTAGAGTATTACCTTCAATAGTGGTCACCAATTATTAGGAAGGATGTGTCCCTGAGAGGGTGCAGAGGAAGTGTTCTGGTGATGAGGGACTTTAACTACAACGTTAAGGTAAAGAAACTGGACTTATCCTTACAACAATGCAGATTGAGGTGTACACGATTACATCAGGCTTAGCTAAGAAAGATAAAGAAAAGTTATTGTCTTTAGCTGTTGATGCAAGGACAAGGAGTGTGGGGTTAAGATTTAAGGTTTTGGGCAAGAGAAAAAGTTGGAATGTAAGGATGACCATTTTAATGCTGTGCATGGTAATGATTTGGAACTATCGAGGAAGGTGAAAGCACAAACATGATTATCCCTCGTGTCTTTTCAGATAAAGTTGCAGGGTTGCAGAGTTACAATGGGGAATTGGTGCTCACTGGATTGCTCCATAGAAAGCTGGCATAGGGTGGCATGGTGGCTCAGTGGTTGGCACTGCTGCCTCACAGCGCCAGGGACCTGGGTTCGATTCCACCCTCAGGTGACTGTCCTTGTGGAGTTTGCACATTCTCCCCCTGTCCGCGTGGGTTTCCTCCAGGTGCTCCAGTTTCTTCCCACAGTCCAAAGATGTGCAGAGTAGGATGGATTGGCTATGCTAAATTGCCCATAGTACCCAGGGATGTTTAGGTTAGGTGGGTCAGACAAGGGAAATGCAGGAGTATTGGGTCTTGGTGGGATGCTCTTCAGAGGGGTAGTGTGGACTTGTTGGGCCGAATGGCCTGTTTCCATGCTGTTGGGATATGATGATGATTCACTTGGTTGTGACAATGTTCTAACTCCATGTTGTACTTGTCCTGGGTGAGTTTGATGGAGATAGTGTTGAGAGAGCATTACTTTCAGTTTAAAGGAGCAGAGGCAGCTTTATTCTGTATTTAACCCTGTGCTGTCTCTGTCCTGGTAGTGTTTGATGGGGACAGATTTGAGAGACATTTGCTTTCAGTTTAAAAGAATAGAGAGAGCTTTGTTTTCAGTTTAAAAGAGTAGAGGGAGCTTTATTCTGTGTCTAACCCAATACTGTGCTTGTCCTGTAAGTGTTTGATGGGGTCAGTCTAGAGAGAACTTCACTCTGTGTCTAGCCCCATGCTGCCCCTGTACTGGGAGTGTCTTATGGGATGGTGTAGAGGCAGCTTTACTTACAGGTGAAAAGATTAGAGGGAGCTATACTATGAATTTAAGGAAGTTTTATTCTATATCTAATCCTGTGCCTTCTCTGTCCTGGGAGTGTGTTACGGGAATATTATGAAGTGAGTTTCAAATTACAGTTTAAAAGAGTAGAGAATGCTTTATTCCATATTTAACCCTGTCCTGTACATGTGCTGAGTGTGTTTTATGGGGACAGTGTAGAGGGAGTTTTATTCTGTAGCAACCTCCATGCTGTCCCTGTCCTGGGAGTGTATGATAGAGATAGTGTTGAGTGAGGTTTACTGTCAGTTTAAAAGAGCAGAGAGAGCATTCCTTTCAATTTAAAACGGTAGAGAGTGTACTACTACTACTATCCAACCCTGTGTTGTATCTGACCTTAGTGTTTGAGGGGACAGTGTGGAGGGAACTTTAGCCTCCGTTTAAATGAGTAGAGGGTGCTTTACGCAGTATCTGACCCATGCTGTCCCTGTCCAGGGATTGTTTGATGGACAGTGTCAAGATAGCTTTAATTGCAATTTAAAACAGTAGTGAAGCATTATTTTCAGTTTAAAAGAGTTAAGGAAGCTTTACTTTCAGTTTGAAGGATTAGAGAGAGCTTTACTCTGTATCAAACTGTGTGTTCTACTTGTCCTGGGAGTGTTTGATGGGGACAGTGTAGAGGGAGCTTCACTCTGTACCTAACCCTGCAGTGTAGCTGTCCTGTTGTTATTGACATTGATTCTTGAAATATTGGTTCTCATGGTACTCTGTGTTACAATGACTGACTGTGCAGATTCGACAATCACCTCCTGGACATGATTGAAAGTGGTAGCTTACAGTCAATCGAGTATCATGAATTGTTTTGAATTTTGTTTATTTGACTGGTTGTTTAACAAATGTTATGGTGACCAGTAAATTAATTGCTGAATTCCAATTTTCTAACAGCAAGATGAGCTAGCTGAGTCTTTCAAATCATTCCTGGATTATGGAATTTCTCTTATCCAGAAATACAGGGACGTCTTTCCAATATTCGACAACAAGTCTACGGAATGCCAGCAATCTCTGCTCAGGTTAGCTATTTCCAAATGTTCTTCTGCTCTGCATTCCCCTCTCACAGGAAAGCACATCCATTTCCAAACCTCACAATGTAATAGTAACCATTCCCAAACCCCACACACTGTAATAGTGACGACTCCCCATGTTTAGTGGAGTGTGTTGGGGGCACGGGTAACTGTTCTGAAGTCCTGAAAACAAAATTATGTGGAACACTGTGTATTTCTGCAGGAGATTGAACTTGGCAGCATTTATAACATGTTCTTGTGTATGCAGGTAATGCAAGCAAACTTAATGGACTGGAAATCTACAATAGGGTGAAGTGTATATGGGCTATGGATAAGATCCACATCAATAACTAAAGCAGTAATTATATTCTGAGTGGAATAGGTGTGTTACTGTGAAGAGTAGCGGGATTTGTAGGTACTGATTCACAGTACATGAAAGGCTATAAAACAGGTAATGGAATTCTTAGCTTTATCAGGTGTAGAATATGAGAACCATGAAGCCAAAAGGAAACCTCATTGAGACCACAGTGCAGTTTTGAGCCTCACACAATAGGAAGATATTGAGCCAAGAGAGAAAGGACAGCACAACTTCAGTTATGAGGGAACATAAGTGCAAATGAAGACCTCAAACATTGGGATTTTTGTAACAGTAACATAAACTTTAGTATTATAATAATTGTAACAAGGTCAGCCAGGTGGACCTCAAAGAAGATGAGTTCCCTGATTGAGGCTGTTAATCTGGTCTATATCAGGGAGCCCTGGCTGACAGATAAGAACAGGAGTGTTAAGGGCCCACTTGAGGCACAGTAGTAGAGTCCCTACCCCTGAACCAAGAGACCCAGGTTCAAGTCCTATCCTGCTCCATAGGTGTGGAATAACATCTCTGAACAGGTTGAGTAGAAAAATAGACTTTTAAAAAAAAGTTACAAACAGGAGTGTCAGACATCTGAAGAAGGGTCTAGGCCTGAAACGTCAGCCTTTCTGCTCCTCTGATGCGGCTTGGCCTGCTGTGTTCATCCAGCTCGAAACCTTGTTATGTCAGACATCCTGTTCGCTGTGAGAGCTGGATCAATGTCAAGGACTCTCCACGAGTAAGTAAAGGGTGACTTGGTGAAGTGTTACCCCTGGCCTCTGTGGAGTTATTTCAAGTATGCCTTCACTTTAGGTCACCCAGGTGAATGTCGATTCATGTTTTTCATTCTCTGGCTTCGCCTCTCCTTCAGACATTGCTCCCTGGCTTTGTCTCTGCCTTTGGCATTACCACCTGCCCTCTGTTCTTAAATTAGCCCAGGAGCTCTTCTCTTGGCCTTTGCTTCATACCTGAACTCATGAAATTGTCCTCAGCTCCATCTAATGGCAGAAGCTGGGGACTGTTGGTAGCCCCAGCTATTAGCTCCACTGACAAACATCTACCACTAGATAGAGCCTGCTCAAGGTAAACATACAGTGCAGTGTGGGGAGTGAATGTTGTATTGTATTATGACCAAGTGAAAGGAGGTGATTGATTCCCTTTTTAATATCTCTTGATCAGTTACAACAAATATTTTTATTTTTTTCTTAAGCGCATAGCTATCACACTTCAATGAAACCTAGTTAACCAGACCAAAAACACAGGAGAGCCAATTCCAACACTTTCTTCAATGAGTATGACTGAAATTTTCTTCTTTTAACCCGAAGAAATATAAGAAAATGGAACATATAACGCATGCACACAACACAAGTAATAAAATTAAAAGTAAGATGGGGGAGGAGGATGTCTATGCAGACAAGGAGGAGCAGACAGTTGCAGTTTAAAGTTTTTAGAGTGAAAGCTGAGTCCCAACACTTTAGTCATTGTCCCCCTATCGCAGCCATTGTCCTCCTTTCTCAGGAGTGGTAAGCAAATTATTGCTTTTTGAAAGAGGTTGAAAGACAGAGGGAGTGAAAGATTCAGCTGTTATCAGTCCATGTTGTTTTCTCACTCCTTTCCTGTTCAAAGGCTGCTGTTGATAAACCATTCCCTTAATGGATTCTGTCATTGTTTCATTCCAACCTGGAAAATTGTAAGTAACTTTCACCTCTCAATTATTTGCATTTATCATCCATGTGTGAATGAAACAAGTGACGCAAATGTCTTGAAACCTCACTGAATTTCAATGCCTCTTGGGTAAACTGGTCATTCCGAAGTAGCCACCTTCATGTATTCTATGTAAGTATGTCAGTGATCACAACAGCTATTTTAGGTCAGTCATGCCCATGGAAATCTCAGGTATTAAAATCAAACCATGACATTTGAGTATTGATAATCCATTTTCAGTGCAATTGTAATAATTATATAACATTAATTTTATATTTGGTAATATATTTTAATTTGCAAGTTATTTCTGCTAAGAATGCATAATGCTGCACATCTGTGGTGCAGCGTTTCAAAGTGTACTTGTACTTGTTTTTTTCTGGGTGAGGAATGTCTGAAGGAACCTAGCTCTAGCTTTAGCATTGATTCCATGGGAACTCATGATTCTCTTAAAGTCATTTTGCATTAAGTCACAACTTTCAAAAATGCAACCACAACTTTAAGTGAGGAATTACTGTACAGGGCATTATGATGGGAATGTTTAAAATGAAGAAAGGCTTGGCCAGTGTGGCTAGAAGCAATCTGTTTCTATTTGTTTTTTATTAGGAGTTATCATAGATTCACGATTCAGTGTAAAAGTTAGAACAGAGAGCAGAAGAAACATATTATTTCAAGGCTAATGATTGAAGTGGAGATTGTGTCTACATTGAAGATCAGATTGGAGGTGGTTGGATTAGAAGGGCACAAGAGGTTAGTGGAGCAATGTAGTGATCATGGTAACTGGAATGTGTGCAGCAATGGTAGTGTCAGTATGGAGCTGGCAGGTGGGACTAGTTTAATTTGGGATTATGTTCAGCATGGACTGGTTGGACCAAAGGTTCTGTTTCTGTGACTCTATGACTCTAGGTGTTGGATATCATTAATGCTCTGGTGAGTTGCTTTCTGCAACCACTGTAGTCCTTGTGGTGAAAACACACTCAGAGTTATTAGGAATAGAGTTCCAGGATTTTGACCCAGTAACAGTGAAAGAACAGCTATGTAGTCCAAATTACCATGAATGACAGGAATTGACCATCATCTGCACTGCGTGATATTCTTGTTAATGCGATATATACCTCTGACTTTCTTTCATAAAAACAGGGTGCTGGTACAGATCTGTAAGATGAAGGCTTTCCTGAAACTCTGCCCTTCAGTTCCAGATCTCCATGACAGAGTTGTGGAAGCGATTAAGGTACAGTTCACCTCAAAAAGATACTTTTGCGGCTTCTGTAATGGCACTGTAACATGGTTTAATGCAAACATAGTGCTTGCTTCACAGTAATCCTAAAAGCTGCTCATAGGTGTATGACTACATCTTTAAAAATGTTCTCTGACCTCATAATGAAAGCACCCTGTTTAGCAGCAACCATAATATGATTGAATTTTACGTAGAGCTTAAGGGAGAGCAATGTGGGTCTAAGACTACTATTTTAAATTTAAACATGGGTAATTATGATAGCATAAATGCAGAGCTAATGAGGGTGAACTGACAATTTAGATTAAGGGATAGGTCAATAGAGATGCTTTTGCAAACATTTAAGGGGATATTCCAGAAAACACAGAATAGATACATTCCAACAAATAATATAAATTCTAAGGGATGGACCTGATGCCTGTTGTTAACTAATAAGTGTCCAAGATAGTATCAGACTCAAATGCTGTGGTGAAGGGAGATTTGATTCTGTTACAAATATAAGACTGGATTGTGGCATGGCTGGGAGACTGGATTGTGCAGGAAATGGAGATTAGATTGTGTAACATTTGTGGGATTGGATTGTGCAGTGATTGGAAGGTTGGATTGTGCAGACACTAGATTGTGTAATAAATGGGAGATTCCATTGTGTAGTTAATGGGAAATTGGGTGGTGTAATGACTGGGAGATTGCAGTGTATATTGATTCAGGGATTGGATTGTATCATGAATGTGAGATTGGATTGTGTTGTGACTGGGCGATTGGATTGTGTATTAAATGAGAGATTAACTTGTTTAGTAGTTGGGAGTCAAGACTGTAACGTGACTGGGAGATTGGATTATGTTGTGATTGCAAGATTGATTTATTATGATTGGGCAATTGGATTGTATTGTGAATGGGAAATTGAATTTTGTCATGAATATGAGTTTGTTTTGTATAGTGAATGAGAGATTAGATTGTTTCCGGGATGGTAGATTTGATTATACAGGGAATGGGAGATTGAATTGTGTAGGATTGGAAGATTGGTTTGTTCAGTGAATTAGAGTTTTGACTGTGTAGTTAATGGAGGATTGGATACTGCCACGACTGGGAGGTTGCACAGTATATTGACTCGGGAATTGGATTGTATGATGAATGTGAGATTGGATTGGGTTTGTGCCGTGATTGCGAGATTAGTTTGTGTAGTGAATGAATGATTGGATTGTGTATTATCTGGGAGTTTGCATTGAGTAGCAATTCAGAAGATGGATTGTGTTGTGAATGGGAGATTGGATTGTGGAGGAATTGTGAAATTGGATTGTATGTTTTGTGTATTCTGTTATGAATATTCCTTTTTCTCTGCTACAGTGTGGCACCAGAGACTGGTATCAAGCCCACAAACAGCTATTGGAGCCCATGATAAAGGTACAGTAGTTACTGAACTTTAGAGAATCTGTTCATTGAAGATGATATTAGCATGACAGGAAGAATGACCTAAATTCAGAATATCAGTATCAGAAGCAGTGTGAGTAGAGGTGAGGAATGATAAAGGCAAGAGGTCATTTGCTGAAGTTGTATACATGCCTCCTACCAGTAACTACAGGGTACAAGGAAGAAATAATGGGAACTTAGCAAACAGGTTCAATAATTATCTTGGTGATTTCTAGCCCATACATGTAGACTAGAAAGATCAGATGAGGAAAGAATTGTCTAGATGAGGAATTCATTGAATGTTTTTGGGATGGTTTCTTAGACCAGCATGTTATGGTACCAACCACCAAGCGGCTGTACCAGAACTGGTTTGACCAATGATATGGGATTAATTTCTGACCTCATAATGAAAGCACCCTGTTTAGCAGCAACCATAATATG